AATAATATAATTATAAATACAGTAGGGCGGGAGCTTCTTTATCTCCTGGAATAAAAATATATTAATAAATTCCTGGAATTTCTTAGATAATTTAAGCTTTTTCTAGTCAGAGGTAGTGTGAAGTACTGTATTAAACTAAATTATAATAACTGTATAAACAGGATAATTTCAGTGGGTATATATAATATATATATTCAGGAAAATAAGCTAGATATCTTTATTTCTCAGGAATTTAGATAAGTATATATTTACTAGTCAGATACAGACTAGGATATTATAGAGAATATAGATCTTAATTAGCCAGGTTAAGATATTATAATACTTCTAGTAATAAAGACTAGTAAATTAAAAAATATAATTAGTAAAATTTATACAGGGATCATGAAGCTTCAGCCAGGATAAACTAATTATAATTAGAAAATAAGCTAGCTAGATAATTAAGAAAGAAATATTTCTTTTAATATAGTTATATATTTTCAGGATGGCTCAGATATAATAAATAATTATTTTAATCTTATTTTCACAGCTGTTAAATCCTATAATAAATTTAGAATATCTTAGAAAATATAATAATAGTTACTGGGTCTCAGTCCAGCTTTTATTTATAATACAAGATATAGCGCAGCTGGTATTAAATATAATATAAATAGAGATCTATTTCTTTTCAGGATTTAATATAATAAAAATTATTATTAAGTCAGTTCTTTAAAGTTCCTCTTTAATTAAGAGTTCTCTAGTAGCAGTTTCAGATAAAATATAGATTTATACTGGAAGTATAGTCTAGCAGTAGCTTAAACCAGATAAATTTCTTTTAATTACTTACTTAGGTCTGGAGAGTATAAATATTCTAAATATAATATTTTAATAAATTAGAATACCAGAAGAATTAAGAAGCAGACTAGAACCAGAGCTATAAATAAGAAATAATAATAAAATAATAAATATATTTTTAGTAATGAGATTAGACATGCAAAATAGCTAGTATATTAAATACAGATATCAGGCTTAGAATAATCTTAGATTAGATACTAGCTGGAGCTATAATAAAAGTACTTTCTTCTTTTTTTTTAAATAAACTTAGACTAGAGTGACGGGCGGTAGAAGACAGAGAGATCTATAAAATTATAATTTAGAATAAAGAATCTCTTGCTAGTAAGATCTGTGAAAAACTTTTACAGAATTCTTCTAGAAAAAATAAGATTAGCTGATCCAGTAGGCAGCTTCCAGAATTTATTATAGAAATTTAGAATATACTATAATCTTCTACTATCCAGGGACTGAAGAAAATAGATTAAAATATAAAAATCTTTTTTAAACAGGATATTATTCAGAAATATAATTTTTAGTTTATAGTTAATATCTTCTTCCAGTATTAGAAGTAATATATCTGGGTATATTCTGGTTTTTCAGGCCAGATACTGGAATTCAGTAAAATAGATACTGAATTTCTAGTTATCCTGCTTCAGGCAGTATAATTCCAGTTAAATATTACAAGTATAATCAGAATCTTTAAAAATAAATTATAGAAATTCTAAGATTTCTGTATAGTCCGCCAGGGTGTAGATTCTGTTCTTAATATAAGATTAAATCTAGTTATATAATATTCTTTTTAAACAATTTATAATATAAGATATATAGACTTGCAGGATTAGATAGCAGTTATAATTAATAAATATTTTTTCTTAGATCTAGAAGATAAATCAGGTAAGATTAGTATAGTTATTTTTAAATTTATCAAGATTAGAAATATACTTAAAGAGAGAAACAGAGATAGAAAAGTCAAGATTAATTAATAAAGCTGTTTTTATCAGAGTAGCTGTTATATTCTTAATAATAAATTTAAATATTTAATCAGAGGTACTGACTGCGGGTATAATAGCTTAAATAATCCTAGTATATTTCTTTAATATTTAATTTTTTTTTCTTAATAGTAATCTCCTTAGTAGTAAGCGCTTTGATAAGCTGGCAGTTAATATCTATAATTTACTGAGCTTAGTAGACTGTCACAGTATCTCTTACAGTAAGATTTTATTAGAATTAAAAGCAGTTATTATCTACTTCCACCACGAAGACTGAGATTTAATTATAATAATTATATTATTCTTCAGGGTTCTCTGTAATATATCATGTAAATTCTTTAAATTTATTAAAACTAATCAGGGATTACAGGATAGCAGGTATCTAATCAGCTATTTATCTTAAAAAAGAAGCTATGTAATATCAAAATACAGGCTGATAGAGATAATAGAAAGATAGCTTAAACAGGAAATAAGAACAGGCGGGAGACTGACTAGCTAATTATAATTAAATTATATACAGGAAGATAGACAAGATATAGCTCAAAGCTATGAACAGGATCTGGAAGACTGGAGAATTTTATGCCTCTTCAGGTCACGTGCCCGGGCAGCCAGTCCGGGCAGTACTCCACAGCTGGCACCGTAATAAATAGATTCAAACTAATACTGTATTCATTGTTTTAACTATTTATTTTCTATTTTATATATATAGAGACCTTATTATCATGGACCCTATTCTGCCTGTTCTATCCTGCTGTATAAACCCACAATCCTACTATCTAGTAGAGTAATATATAATCAAAAACCTGATAATTTATATTTAGCTGCCTGATTCTTATTATCTTCCCTGATTATATATCTTCTCCTTGTATAATGAGGTGGAGAGAGAGACTGGAATAGCTGATACTTTAATAAGATATCTAAAATCTTTATCTCAATATCCAGAGCATCAAGATTATCCTGATCTTCTTGTATAGTCAATTTCTCTTGTATAACTAATTTCTTTTTTTTAATAATTTCTATTTTAATCTTTTTCTTCTTCTTCTTGATCTTAGTCTCCTCTGCCTTATCTATAGTAGAGAAAGATAATATATAATACTAGATAATTATATAGACCTGGTATAATTTATAAATATTTATAAACTACTTCTTCAAGAAGTCCAGGGTCTTTACATTGCCTCTAGCTTTTAGAAATAAAAAGACTGGTTACTTCTATATAATTTCTGTTAATAAATAGAAGTAATCTTTAATCTAATATATATATATACTGCTAGATATTAAGAAAAGCAGCTCATCTCTAAAAAAGTTATCAAGACTATAAAATACATAGTTATTAATATAAGTCTGTACCTATTTTATAGAATAACAAGATTAGCATTGTATAAGTATTAAGAATAAAAAATTAAATCTAATAAAATATATATAATAATTAAAATATTATCTTCAGATTCTTCTTCCTGTACATTATACAGATAGAAATAAATAATAATCTTTATATCAGCTGGTTCTTTGGAAGTCTTCTTATATAAGAAGATATTCTAGTAGATATTCTCTTCTCTAAATATTATTATATAAAAACTAATACTAGATAAGATAGTCTGTATATACAAGCCGGATTGTATAGATTATAGCTCAGATAATATAGTAAGATTAATATAAATAATCTACTAAAATAAAGAATTAACTATCTGGCAGATCAGATATTGCTAAATATAAGTAAGATAAGATTAGCTAATAGAAAAGTAGTAGTTAGTCCAGAGAAGAACTATTTTATATAAAAGATGTTTTGTACAAGCAATGCCTTATATAAAAAATATTAATTTTCTATTTTATATAAAAAAAAGCAGGATCTTAAGACTTTAAATAAATAGTAAAATAGGAAGAATAGTAAATAAAAAATATATAGCTATTATAAATAGCTACTCTAATCCCTATTACTTAATCTAATTAAATACTTTGATTAATATCTTGGATAATATCAGATTAGGTCTAGTATCTAATCTTATATATATTATTATCCGCTTCTATAAGCTAAGGTAGATTATATAAAAAGAGACTTCTACTTTATCTAGATATATTAATAATAGCTTTTCAGGATCAAAGTCCAGCCTTAGTAGGATTCTCTGATATTATTTTAAAATCTCTGTAGATAGATACTCAGTTATATCCCAGCCTTATATAATATTTCTTAGCTACTGGAGAGACTCTTCATATATAAAAAGACTATAATTAGTTATATATTTTAAATAATAATAATTCATATACAGCTGACCAGAGATAATATATAATCTTTCTTATTACTTTTAGATACTGTATTAATTCCAGGTATATATATATAACAAGACCTGCATCCGAAGAATAGACATGTAGACTGTATATAAAGTAATCTAATCTAATATTATATTTTTAAAGAAGTCTCCTACTTCAATTAAGACCTTAAAGTAGTTCTATATTAATTAATACAAAGATATTCAAGGATTGGTCCGTCTGTACATATATAATATTAGAAAAGTAATGATTTACTTAGCTGTATCTATTAAGTCTTAATTCTCTAATTTACAATACTAGATCTAAAGATATAATACTATATTACCTTAATCTCTGGCTCATATACTTTTTGGAGATGGCAGTAAGCTTTAATAAATAAAGATATTTCTAATCTATAGTCTGAATAGATCTTATAACAGATAATCTTTTATTTATATACAGTATTAAAATATTACTGTACAACACTGACTGATATATAAGTATTAATACTAATATAGATCTAGATAATATAGTAAGAATATATATTAATAACCGCGTAGATTTAGATATTATATAAATCTAGCTTTATATAACTATCCACGGACCAGATATAATCTGGTCCAGGAATAATATATAAGCCATGACTTTACTACATATTATTCTACTGTTATTATATAGCCTCAGATGTAATTATACAGTAGATATTATATAGCTAATATCTGAAAAAAGACCTTAATTAGTAAAATATTAATATATAATTACTCTCTGTACAGATCTTAAAATAATAAGATATTTACCATATATATAAGCAAATAAAAGCTCTTATCTATAATCTTTAATAATTCCTTTATTATATGTCTTAAGCAGGTGCTTTGTAGCTATATCATTCTGGAGCTGATACTTACTAAAATTATCTATTTATCAGACAAGGCCTTGCTCTGTACAGATTTATTAAAGTATTTATAAAAAGACAGTATATTCTTCAGCCCGTAGAGTATATAGAATCTCTGTATCAGAGAGGTATCTCTTAAAGAATAACTCCTTGATCCGGCTGTGTAGAGAAGAATCAGTAGTAACTATATAATCACACTTGCTAATATCCCAACCACTCAACCTGGTCTTAATTATATGCTCGCGGACTTGTACATAGTGTCATGCCTTAATAATAGAGATAATATAAACTGTAGAATAGTCCTCATGGAATAGACTAATAATCTCAGCCTTGTACGGCTCAAGATTAATGGCTGGACGTACCATGATCAACACCATGATGAATAAATAAAATACTGTACATAGAGTAATAATAAGCATCATATAGCGGTGAGGTCAGCGGTGAGCGTACTTCAACACCAAAAATCATTTTTGCCCGATGGCCGCTATTAACCGCCGTAGATGACTGGCCACGCGACCGCCCTTCTGCTGCACGTCGGAGGACCCGGGGAATCCTTGTCAGATGGACTGACCCTGACCCGGCAATTGGGGCACCTCGTTTATTTCTAGCATTCCTTCGCCATGCGAGATTACGGAGCACACTAATCTGACTCTGCCGTTACTTTGCAAAGTGAGACAAGCGTCATATGATACCCATGTTGTAGCTCCACTCGATCGCTGTCTGCGGTTTTCCGATCAGAAGTTATGCAGCACCAAAGAGCGCCGCGTGCGGTCCCTGTGCAGTCTCTCGGGCCATCAGCGCTCGCTTGGGGAACCGGTCGGCCCATCCCGTCCAATCTGTTCGGTGTTCAATTGAGTACGTGAGGGTAATATGTGGGTCGAGGCAGCATCGGGGATCGCGGGAAAGCTGAAAGCTCGGAGGCACTAACTGTCTCTAGGGCTTACAGGTGGGCCCAAATAGACTCTGGGGTGGAGCAGGGTCAATATATTCACGCTCCAACTTAATAAAAGAATCGGCCGGTCGCCGTTCAAAAAACCATACCCCCTGGAGTCTCTTGATGTCAATTGGGCCGCAAGAATGTTCGGAGTAGGAAGGAAGCCTGGCAAACCTTACTTTCGCTGCCAAGGCTCTCCTTTGTGGGAGTAAAAAATTTCAATGGCTGCAGAACTCATTTTTCTGCCTGGGCTACAGGAGGTCTCGCTGCAATTTCGGTCGGAGTGGTAAGAGGCGTGAACTGTTCCGGAAATTGTAACTACACCTGCCTGCATTGCAGGGCGGAGTCCGCCTGTTCAAGATATGTGGACAGTTATCAATTCGAGGGATGAGGCATCAGAAGCAGCCCACAACAGCAATGTCCAGCTATGGACCCTCTACGGGATTGGCTGTGTGGTGACGCTACTTAGGACATACTCACAATGCAAAGACCTGGGCTGGAGAAGATTGCGCCATGACGATTATCTGATATGGGTTGCTATTGTAGGCACCAAAGCCGACTATTTTTTCTTATTTGTATCTGGATCAATGCTAATACACTCGCTCTCTGTAGGTATTTTACACTGCGCAAGTGGCATTGGCGTATAGTGTCGGAAATGCAGCCCACGGGCTCGCAAACAACAGCATGACAGAGGCCCAGAGAGCTGCACTGACTCCAGACAGTACGGAATATCGGGAAAGGTCAGTTGTTTCGTACCGATTAAGTGAATGGACGTTGACAGAGGTGGTCAACAGGATAATTGGCTCCAAGATACAGATAGCCGGTTGGGCCACATATACAGCGTTGATAAGCTCGCTCAAGTTGTCAATGCTAGTGTTCTATACCCGACTTATGGTAAGGCTATCGATGATCATGCATGATTCGAAGGATAGCTGACCCGGCTACAGGATGGTCTCGGCCGTCGCTATCGCGTGCCAATATGGATAGGATTTGCTCTCGTTATTGGGAGCTTCATCGCCTGCATGATAACGATTCTTGCGGCATGCCGGCCCTTCAACAAGAACTGGCAGATCTATCCTGACCCCGGCAGTAAGTTCGTGCCCCAAGATCTTAGATCCGGATGTTTGCTCATGGCTACTCTACTAGATTCCTGCCAACCTGCCATTTCCAAGCCGGTGATCGCCGCAACCTTTGCAGCAAATCTCGCCACAGATCCATATCTCGTTTTGATACCAATTCCCATGCTTTGGAAATCCAGCCTAAAGCTCATGAAAAAGATTGCGGTGACAATAGTACTTGGCGCGGGGATCTTTATTCTGGTGTGTGCGACAATCAAGAGTGTTTTTCTGTTGGTGGTAAGGCAGTGGCCGTATCCCTTCGCTTGACATATTGCAGAGCCGTGGCTCATTTCTCTCACAGGAACCCAATAACGGAGCATCGATAGCAGACGAATGGGGCACACGAGAGACATTTGTCGCCGTGATCACAACGAATCTCCCTATGGTTTTCCACCTGTTCCGAACCTGGCTAGCCCGGGGTTTTGGCAGCGCCTTTCAATCATCTCAGCGAACCTACCAGCTCCCGTCAGGAGGATTCCAGAACACCGGTGGCGGGACGACTCGGAAACGAGGCCGAGGAGGCACCAGCAGCCGGGATCCGATCACTGTCGGTCTGACATTCACCGAGAGTGAAGAACGGATGATGCAGGACATTAAGCTGCAGACGCTGGAACCACACGAAGGACCCACAGCTGGTGCTATTATGGTCTCGAATCAGATTGAAGTCACCCATCAGACGCGAAATAGTCATGCCAGAGAACCACCTGCACCAGGGGAAGATATACATTGGTAGCATTCGGACCGTCAACCGAGAATTCCACACCTATTTTGCTTTGAAAATAAGTTTGGAAATGCGTAATCTTCAGTAAAAGCGGGGTGCTCTTAATCAAGCAGAAGAGGCTAACTGTTGAGGATTTTTGGCCCTAGTGACGCCGGCGTCGGTGACTTGCAGGCCACTAGCGGGTGAACTCCGGTTTAGCCTCGGAAACGTTATCCCGTGGATTCCTCTAATCTCTTTCCCCTTGCATCCGCACAGTCCAGAACGGTGCACCACCAGAATGTGGCAGGGGACACACTTTCTGGAAACAGTACTGTGCTCGGTAAAAAGGGGTTTTATGGTCGTAAGGTCGAACAAGCCTTGAGACTGCCTTGTACGCCTGTTGTTCAGAGTGGGCTAAAACATCCCAGGCAACAGCATGAAATATCCCCAAAGCAACTAGTAGAGCAAAGGACAATTAGGCTTCTCGAGTCAAGGAGAGTTGTAAGCTGTAACAACAACAGGCGTCCCACCTTACTGTTGGCTGAATGGTTAAGTCTGGAAAATAGTGAAGAAATAATAAACTCTAGGCTTTTCTTTAAAACGAGCAATGTTCTAGAAGACAGGCTAATCTAAAACACGCTTGATAACAAAGCTTCTGTTTATTCAAACATGGAGTGTTATTCACACATTGAACTCGGTATACTGGAAAAGACAGATCTTGTCTATAGTTCTAAGCTCTTACTGGAACTTCATGCAGTCTAATGATTGGCCACTGGGGACAATGGGGACCATTTCTGCCTCCGCGATTAGCACGTCGAGCAGAGCAACTCCATCACAGCGTAGAAGCCAATCAATGCACTCGGGCAAGTCCTCTTTGAAGAAGCAGCGTTTTCCCTGACAGTTCATGCTGCGCGCGAGTCGAACAAAGTCGGGGTTGTCTTGCCGGGCGTAGCAGGTCCTCCCTCCGTAACTTTCGCGTTGGAGCTGGGAAATCATCCCCTGTTCTTGGTTGTTGAGTATGATGACTTTGACGGTGACACCATGCTGTGATGCAGTCAAGAGTTCTGCCATAGTCATACAGAAGGAGGCATCTCCGTCTATACAGATTACATCATTGTTAGGCCGAGCAGTCTTCGACCCAATAGCGGCTGGAAGCCCATAGCCCATTGTCCCGAGGCCACCAGACGTGACAAGAAAGCGACCATGCTTCCAGTCGTATTGCTTGGCCGCCCACATCTGGTGTTGGCCGACGCCAGTAGTGATGGTTACTGGATATTGCAAAGAAGCCGTCTGGCGATTTAACTCAGTGACAACTTCTTGAGGAAGGGGCCGAGGGTTCTCGTGGTCGGATAATATGGGTGGAAGAGGATACTCTTCCTTCAGCTGCTGTATTAGGCCCAGCCAATCCGCGCGCTCTGTCCGTTTCAATCGCTGGAGGAGCGCGTTCACAGTGTTTGAGAGCTCTCCGAGGATGACGCGAGTGGGAGTAACAAATTTCCCCAAAAAGTCAGGACTAATATCGAAATGGATGATCCCTCCTTTGCCGTCTTTGGCTTTTGCACGAGCGTAGGGTGCAAAGCCAGATGCTTTGCCAACCGCACGTTCGTCCAGTCTGGCACCCATAACGAGGATGAGATCAGCGTTCTGGATTGCATAGTTGGCACACGCCGTCCCATAGGTCCCAAACATTCCTAGAGAGAGTGGGTCGCCGTGGTCAAAGCACCCTAGCCCGTGGAGCGTGGTAGCTGCAGGAATGCGATAATTTTCCACCATCTTCCGCAGCAGCGCCACGCCTTCTTGAGTAGCAAGGGCACCATTCCCGGCGCATATGATGGGACGCCGAGAATTATTGATCAGTTCCGCAACGTGATCTAGTTCTTGCAAGGATTTTGCGGTATTATTGCTGGGAGAATCGGAACTTGGTTCCAGGCATCTATCTGTCAAGTTCTTGTAGGCCTTAAAAGCTTCCTCATCGAACGTTACTTGAGCAATATCTTTCGGAACTGAAATGAGTACTGGGCCAGGCCGGCCCTCCACTGCACGCTGAAAAGCCGAGCGAACAACCATGGGCAATTCCCACACGCTCTGTACAGATGTTGACCACTTCGTACAAGTACGTGCTAGTTCATCAATGTTGATTTCCTGGAAAGCTCCCTTGCCCTTGGCAGCTGTGGGCACTTGGCCACAGATCACTACAATGGCCGTTGCATCGAGCAGGGCATCTAGCATAGGTGTAACTGTATTCGAACTCCCGGGCCCTGAAGTCACCATAACCACGCCGGGCTTTTTGCTGGTTCGGTAGTAGCCTTCTGCCATATGCCCCGCTCCCTGCTCATGATGTGCAAGTATGAATTCGAATCGCTGGGCTCGGTAGAGGCTGTCCACTAACGGAAGAGATGCGCCGCCGGGGTAGCCAACTGTAATTTTTAGCAACAGTATCTTCTAATATTCAGCTGAATTGGGGAAGTACAGATATGCTTCACGCCCTCTCTTCCAAGAAGCTCGCATAAAACGTCTCCCCCCCGAAAGTCCGACAAAATCGCATCCATCCATTTGCGGTGAGAGATGAGAAACGATTTATCGAGGGACGGCGAGGTTGCTTGTCTAGGGTATTAGTTGTCTCTCTAGCCTTTCTCCGTTTATCGGTGACAGGCACTGTAAGACGCGTCATCGATGGCGACTTTCCAGCATATGGTGATAAGGAATGGTCCTGTGCTTGGACACGCCTGACTTGAATATGGTCCTATGCTTGCAGTCGACGAAGCCTGGTCATTTTTCCTGTACAGGAAAACTCTCCGAAGAACTAATGGCAGCTTTGTCGAGTGATAAGACACTCTTGGAGGGGAAAATCTCAACCTCACAGTAGTTCTTTCGGGGGGGGGGGGGGACTTGTGTTGCACAGGAAGCCGGTTGTGAGACCTTATCCTCCCATGGCTGCTCGGAGGAATTTGAAATCCTGACCATGCAACACATTTCCCTGAAAAAGCATAAATAGACATGCCCAGAGTAGTAATACCCATGGATAGTAGTTCCCAATAATCTCTAAAGTATAAGAATCTACCCAAAGGTTGTTACACAGCAGCTGGAGGAAAATACTGCCGCCCAGTTCCGCCTTGACGTAGAACATCTAGCTTCATAGAGTAGTGATATCATCCTATCATAAACTTTCTTTCATAATGGCTTCCAAATATACGACGAAAGCCTAGTTGCACGAGCTACTATCGGGAAACCTTCCGAGCAAGGATCGAGGATACGCATGTGATCGCCATTTACTTGATGTCGTCAAATTAAGGAAACATTCTTGCTAAACCCAGGAATCAGACACCGAAAGCAAGGGATTGAGGTATGGCTCTTGGTGGAGCTTACCTGCCAACCAACGTCACCCAGTTACCGAATGAAAACAGGTGCATTTGGGACCATATCGAAGTTTCTTGATTACCGGCTTGCAAGAATGCGGTGGACTCCTGATGTTATCATCGTAAGGATCTTCTCGTATTTGTCTAGGGTAGTACAAGATATTTCGGCTGCGTGTTGCTTGCGTGTTGCATCAGTCGATCTCGAGGGCGCTATCTTCTTCCGCTCCATGATTGGAACAGTGTCGGTACCTGAAAAAGAGTAGAGGCAAACTGAGATGTGCCTTATCTGTTTTGAACAGGGACAAATTCATACAATAGAAGTATCATCAGTAGTTGATCCTCAATCCAACTCCGTTATTTCTCCAGGTGCCACCATGGCAAACAGCATATACCAATACTCCGTACTAGGAGCTCTCATGAACGGCATCTGTCAAGATGGAACGACGGCACAAAACATCCTCAAACATGGTGACCATGGCATCGGGACCATCCGCGGTCTTAATGGCGAGTTGGTGATCATCGACGGGGTAGCGTATCACTTCCCAGCGAACGGACCCCTACGCCCCGTCGAGGCCGCAGACATCATCCCATTCGCGATGACTACCAGGTTCCAGCCCACGCTGACCAGCCATGTTCCGTGTATCTCCATGTCTTCTCTGTTTGACTCCCTGTTACCTGTATTTCCTGATGAGCAGAACGTCTTCCTCTCAGTCCGCCTTGTTGCCTCATTCTCGCGGATCGTCTTTCGCGTAATCCCGGCACAGTCCAAACCACGGGAAAGCCTTTTAGCTCTGGCAAAAAGGCAGGAGATCCGGGAATGCACACGTATACAGGGGACGCTGTTCGGGTTCTGGTCACCCAGGTATACCAGTGGGTTTAGCATCCCAGGATTTCACTTGCATTTGCTGTCCGCGGATCGTACTGTGGGTGGCCATGTTATTGATTTTGATGCGGAGGATGGGCAGCTGGCCGCAGCAGTGGTGAGGAATTACCAGGTGGAGCTGCCTGCTTCGGAGGAATTTCGCGAGGCACCCTTGAATTGTGTGAAGGAGCAAGATCTGCACACTGCTGAGGGATCTCCCGCGCCTCGTTAAGCTTGAGTTGACCGTGGTTGAGTGGTTACTAGAAGGGGCAACGGGGTACCTAGATCTTGTCGAGTACACACCAACCCACTCAATTGTACCTAGCTTTATAATGGGGTTTGATAAGCCGGAAGATCCCATCTTGCTATAAGACAGAGTTGAGCTTTGGGATCAGACGAAAACATTTATCGGGAGACGTAGATTTCCTATAACCATACCTATTTCCCAGATACAAGACGTAGCGTGAAGCAAGCAATCAGGTGTTTAAGCACATTCAGGCAGATCATTGTCATACTCATATGTTTATGTGGCACCTGCTTACTAGCCTTTTCGTAATCAACAAAACCCCAGTCTAATAGTAGAATGAAAGAGTATTGCACCTGAGATTTCTTTCCCAACTAACCCGGTAGATATACGTTCCACAAAGCGAACATAATCGCAAGCTGATCAAGATAAGGCTGGGAGGACCCATGTAGTCACCGATTCACTGGGAATATTTCCACTCCACTCCTCTCCGCTCTCCGTCGACAGGGTCAAGTAGATATCGTTACTGAACATATTCTCGATGACGACTGTGCGCGTTCCATCCGGGTTGAGGGATGCCACGGACTGCAAGCCCTCGCTAGCCGAGTAGGTATAGCTTCCCGTTCCGTTTAACACGGTCGCACCAGGAGGCATGAACTTGCTGAACTGTGCCATCATGTAGTAGGCAGTATTGAGGGTATAGCTGTCGTCGTTGTTGATGGTGACCAAGCCCTGGCAGGTATCGCACCCACCACTGGTCAAATGCGGGCCGTCATCAGTGTTTGTGCCCAGAGTCCATGCCATTACCCCCGACGCATAGTTCTGCAGGGGACCTACGGTGAAATCAACAGCCTGGTGCCATGATCCGGACGCTGGTGTCCAGCATTCGGTCATGTATTGCTTGACCCCAGGGTTGGCGCTGTAGAACTGGCTGAGAACACTCCAGTCGACATCCTTTGCATAACAGTGCCAGGCCACAGTGTCGACGTATTCACTTGCTTCATCAAGCACAGTCTGAGGGTACGATGTCTGATCTGGAAATCGATTGTTAGCACTTGTCAAGAGAATTGTCGCGAATGAGATGCCTACCAGTATTGTGGTCGTAAGCCCAGATTTCCGTGCTTAGTCCAGCGTCGGCGAGAGCCGGTCCAATGTACTTTTGGATCAGCTGCGCAGACTCATAGTCGTAAACATACATGGTGGGATATCCAGACTGACTATTCAAGGGTTCGTTTTGAATAGTAATAGCATCGACCGTAGCGCCCAATGCTTCATATGCTTGGATGTATTTCACGAAGTACTGAGCGAATGCACTGGAGTAGCCGGTGCTTCCCGTACCACCACTGGTAAGGTAGCCATCGTTGAGGTTATTATCGGTCGTATTGCCATCAATCACACCATTTAATTTCATCCATCCGGGCGCACTCCATGGGGACCCGAGCACTTTCAGATCGGACTGCAAGGATTTCATCGTGGCCAACATTTCCGCCATAGCAGTGCCACGGTCGCCAAGGCCAAAGCCGGAAAACGAGGGATCTGCTTCGTTCCCATTATCATCGTAAGTGTAGACCGGATCACCAGACAGATCAGATGCGCCGATAGTATGGCGCATGAGAGAGAAATTAGCCCCATCTGAGGTCATCAGCTCATTGAGGAGCTGTTGGAGGGTTGAGCTCGACAATGTGTTGAAAGACGTGACGGTCGCATCGGTCACAGCAGCCCCAAAGCCAGTAATTTCCTGCTTGTGACCGGATGATGTATCATCGATACTTAGCTTCCAGGTAGATTCCGAGGATGGGCTTCCACTGCCCTGGATTGGGGCCGCGATCGACGAGAGCCTATAGGTGCCCGATGAATCGGAGCAGTATGCGGAGGCATCGGTGGCGCGTTTCTCGAGAGAAGCATGGCCTAGGGATGCCAGCCCAGCCACAGCATACCACAACATCAGACTCATATTTGTAGTGAAAGAGGTGACCATGAAGTGAAGTAAGTCGAGAGTGGCGGGATGCAAGCAACCAGGCGTTTCAGGGATAATACTTATATACTGCGCCATGTTTGGCCCCCAAGTGGCAGTTTCAGGGTTGCCCTGTTCCCGTCTGCGGTTGGGGGCACAAGTCCCAAGCATCGCCGAAGCTACTGTAGCAAACACGTGCTAGTTTTGCTGACAGGAACGAACTCTAATGTAAGATAATTTGCCTAATTGAGGAAATGGTAGGTGAGATTGTACCGTTAGCGAGAGGTGCTGAAAGCTTATTCGCCTGTATAATTATCGCTGGCCGCATGCACGCGAGTTCCGCACACCCCGATGCAAGGGGGATGGAGATCGCTTCGGGCCAAGTTAACCTGATGAGAGTCAGTTGATTGCCGAGACCTTATCAGGCTCACCCTGCATTATCTCAGCTTGATTCATACTATGGACGTTAGTTATAGTGTTCTTGTTTTGTGACTGAATCTGTGTTGTTGGCTGTTGCTGCGCATAATGTCTCTTGTCATGTAAGTCGTGCATAAAGAAAGATACCCAGTAAAAGGGGCAGTATACTGGCACGAATAGCTTCACGGTACGGTCGGTGTCAGTCATCTAGCCTTCATACCCATCCTTATAGGAAACAAAACTAATATCAATTTAGTCTGAAGCATGTCCCAGGAACGTGTGGATACAAAACATTGCGCATTTCACAGTTCTAGCCATGGATAGGTTGTTCCGGCAAAAATCGGGCAACATGTGGTTGTGTGGGGTAGTGGTCATCCCTTCGGATTTTGAGGACTTTGTTGTTTCCAGAGTTCCGACAACCCCGGTTCGAACCCGGGCACGACCTATCTTGTTTTCGTCTGGCTTATGCCATAGTTATGTTTCTTTTTCTTTCTTTTTTTGGGCATCTCCCTGATAACAATTTGATGTTTTCAACGATCCCTGCCATGTGTTACAATAAGCTTCTCTCACTCTAAGATTAGCTTTCAGCGCTGACAGTAGGAGGTAACTTCCCGCGAGGCTACAGTAACCACCAAGTCAATCTCCGTCCCACCTTCTCCCTCGTCGATAGGCAGCTACGTCTGGCCTCCCATCTCTGTGGCACATAAATATCCTGTATCTGCCCCTTCTTTCGCCAGTCATACATATCTGTTTCCATATCGTCTTCTTCACCACCACTGCCATCACCACCATCAGCAACCATGGATGAATCCAGGCCAGAACAAGATCACTCCACCACTTCGGATCAGAGTACCCTGGCTGCCATGCAGAACTTGACAGCATCGATACAGAGCCTAGTGAGATTGCTTCACCAGGAAAGGGAGCGACGAGAATCTCAAGTGAAATCAAAGAACGCTAAGGACAGTGACCCTGTCCTGAAGGCGCTGAGCGAGGAGATTGCAGCCGGGCGGCCAACGCATATTCCAGAGGAGAACCCTGTGGAGCTCATGTCACAAGAGGAGATCGATGAAAAGAATGACTCGTATAGGGAGAAATACACAGGTATGTATTGCCCCACAACACCCTTCAATACTAGGTGAATCTCGAAGAAATAGTGAATTCGAAGCAATACTAACTCGTTGCAGCCTTCTGGAAGGATTTGCCGTCCCCTCCAGCTGACATAGAAACCACTGACAATGCTTACCAGTGGGCCTTTGACCTATATCCCCAGATATATCACTCTCTGGGATGGCATAAAAATGAGGATATCCTTTTTACTGCAGATATCCTATCCAAACACCGTGACGACCTTCTGGTAGCACTCTTCGCCGTTGAAGCATATCGGCGTAAGCAATTTGGTTGTCCTCTGGAGCCATCACGCGCGGCGTTCGAATATTCACGCCTACCCCGCCTACTGCTGATACTGGCTCGTTTGGAAGCCCGACGAAACGATGGTCTGGAATGCCGCAACGGAGCCTGTGTGGATTGTCGCTACTTCGGCGCCGACCAAACCCTCCAGGTTCTCATTGAAGTGGGTCGAAGAGTGCACCACGACAAATACTGGAGTGCGAATGACACAACTTTGCAGGAACTGCTGCATCGCTGTTATGCTCGGCGTATTCTATCTCAGCCTAATGCTGATAATCCTGATGTTTTGCGATACCAGTTCCATCTCATTTACGACTGCCTGGGTTCGTTGGACTTTACGTCGCGGTTCCTTGAAGTTCGAGATGCGCTTTGTCTCACCTTCTATACCAGATATCAAAGGGAGCCAATCCATAAGATATTTGACATGGAAAAATGTCATAGAAGCTCTATGAAGGGCATTGAGGATTCTAAGGAGCTTCCACTTGAAGAGTTCCCTGGTCCGACTTTCTCCCCCGACACACTCACGGTTCAGTACCTGCAGGACTTTGGTGGCTTGAGAATTGAATGGACAGATAATCTGGATGATCATCTCAAGATATTCACGGGCCGCAATGCGCTCAGGATCTTTGCTCATCCCACATTCTTCTACAATTGCCGAGATCTCGTGAAAAGAGATTATATTGAGCCCTTGCACCTTGAACTATCTCGGACGTACGCCCTTCTTTTTAGACCATCATCCCGACCGGCACTGCGACTGCTGCAAGAAGCGACCAAGTCAAACGAGATCACTTGGCTGGGAAGGAAGATCGATCCGAGTTCCCATCGGTCAGGTATGGAACAGGGCACTAGCAAGTCGTTTGATGTCGATCTGGCCAAGCCATCAACAACCCGTATCCTGGAGAACTTCCATCGCTGCTCGCTTCCCCCCAGCATTCAAGCCGCTTATAACGTCGCCAACCCTTTTGCTAGTATTAAGGATACTAGCTTCTTCAATCAACACAAGTTCACAACCAGCTCCATGCGGCAGATTCATGCCCTCGCTCCGTACTATCCAGAGGACATTACGTTTATCATAATGTCTATCTTTCAAAACGATTTCCATTCAAACGAGGCTTTCATAGACTATGAGTACTTTGGTCCTCGATTGCGTCGCCTCAAAACATACCTGGACAACCAGCAGCCCACCACACTGAAGCAGCTGTGGTTTGAC